CTGTTGGGGCTTTGTTTCTGAAGGCTGGCTTAAAACCATGCATTTAGCTGAAAAAACATCATGTCATAAAGTCCTTCCTTCATTTTTCTGTCTAGCATACAAATTATAATATAACTTGTCACTACATTTTCATTCCCTTTGCTCTGGACACAGTTTAATCCATCAAGATTCACATAACATTCGCAATAACGTTTCAAGGGGCGAGCTTAAAACACGCCGTCATGCACAAAGGTACACACAGATTCCAAACAAGCCATCGCATCATAATTAACGTTTGGCAAACAAGGGATACAACAAGAGCCATCTGATCTATTGGCAGAGACTATAGAGTTCCAATTATTAGTTGTACCAACATACAGTATGCATCAACATTCAACACACACAGACATCCTAATTCAATAACCAATACATAATCCTCACTTTCTTTTGGTTTTCTTCCAACAACCCTTCTTCTTTTTCTTTTTTCTTTTTCCTTTTTCATTCACTCCTTCTGAAAGTACAAACGCAAAAGGAATGCAACACCGAGTATCAAAAGGGGCAGAACATAGAGCAGAACCTTAGACGAGTCTCCACCAGAGCCCTGATTCTCCGTGGCTGCACCCGTAGTAGTGCTGGTGACGTGGAAGGCCTGTTTGGTTTCGGGCAGAGTAGACTCGTCAATATGGCCGACAAAGAATTCCTTCATTTTCTCTTGCGCATCATCACTGTGCCCCACGTCTTCAAAGTCAACAGTTGCGTCCTTCCCTGCATGATTTTCGACTTCAATTGGTACTTCTTTTGGAATCTTGTGGTGAAATGAAATTTATAGAGTTGGATAGAAGAACGTGAAGAAATTATGAAAGCGAACGAGTTTGATGCTATTACCTGTTGATGTTAAAAGGACATCGTCTCCTCCTGGGTGCTCTTCCAGAAATGGTGTCACGTCATAGACCTGATATTGTGCTACGAAACATTTAATTAGAATATAGTCCTTAAAGAATGGTGCAGTGTAAATTTTCATAACAAAAATGCAGATATCTAATTTACAGACTACTGTCATATGTTATACTCCGTAAGTATAAGGCAACCTCAAGCCCCTTCAAGTACTAGTTCTATCAACCTGTGTTAAGGATCATAAAAGCTGAAGATCCTTTTGTACATGGATTTTTCTTAACTTCAAGGCATTTGAAGCATTTTGCACGTCTAAACTTGTTCGACAGGACACCAATTGAACAAAAGTACTAAAAATCTTCATCAAAGCTCTAGAAGTCAAGAATCTAGCCTACTTTAAATCGCGGTTAAAATAAAATATCTAAGGTAAGACATGGAAGATTCGACCCTACTGAAGTCACGGGGTTCTTTATAGTGATGTTTTGATCCGATGCTGAAAAACCCTGTGACTGTACTGCACGAAATCTAGTGAAAACCCCAGTGACTCGCAGAGAAAAAATTAAACACACAAACCAAATCCACCATTTGGGAAAAACAGATTCTGGCAGAGCAGATCTTTATATCTGAATTTAAGAGTCAATTAGGTACTTTAAGTTAACAGAAGATACACAGACTATACATAGTTAGTTTTTTTTCAAAAATGATGAAAAAAAAAAAAGAGAGAGAGAGAGAAGAATCTGCGAGTCTTTTAGATCACTTGATAGAGCACAAATCTTACTTAAATTTCAGTCCTAACCACATTTTCACTCATATTAACAGCTTCCATCATTGAAATCCATCACTTACTTTGAATCAGAACCCACTTAACTTAGCATTCGAGTATTTCAACCTCGTTAACTTCAACGAAAACAAACATTTGGGATTCAACGCAAGATTGAACTTTTTTGTCATGAAAACCACAAGATCGCAACTTTCCGACAGAATCGAATTTAAAAAAGAAATTTTCTTCAACCCGACAAGCAAGCACGTCTCTAGTTCCAGATTCAGCAAAAAATTGGAAATCAAAAAGGGGTGAAAGGAAAAAAGATAACCTTGCCAGAGATGATAAGCCAGCAATCATCTTTCTTGTTGTGCTGGGCTACCTCCTCAAAGGAATGAACTTTCTCAGCCATTTTTTCTGCAAGTAGACGCAACTACCACCTGAAGAGAAAAAAGTGCGGTGAAAAAAAAGTCTTTCCTTTTTCCTCCAAGAAATAAAAGCGAGTAAATAGGCAAACCAGAATAATTTTGGTAAAATTCTTCGGTCTCAACTCTCAAGGATCGCGTGGGCGTGGCGATGTTAATTTAGATTAAAATATTGAGCATCACTCCCACACGCGCCCCAACTCCATATTCTCATCCAAAAAGTAAAAATAAATTCTCAGTACTACTCAAAGGCTCAAAGCTAATTTATCATATTTTAAGATAAAAATGCATTTGTCATAATTTTTTGTGTTATTTTTTCAAATATGTTATTTATAAATTAAAATATATATATATTAAAACTATAACCATTAAATAATTAAGCACAGCTAAAAATAATTTTAAAAAATAGAGAATGTTAGTAGGGTCATTCCATCATAGGTACCATTGAACATGTCTTGTACATACCTGACAACAAATACTCTTTAAGATTATGACATATGCTCTTATACTTTTTCAAAATAAATATTTAAAAAAAATCATATTTGTTAAACTGCTAAATTACCTTTACTTAATAACTTTTGAAAAAAAATCAATTATATGATACAACATCTTTACATTAGTTTTATTTTTGTTACCCACTTAATCGTTTTCGGTATCAAACTATTTGTCCGTTAATCACTTTTTGGTCCACATCCTCAATATTACGTCATACATTCGTCTGGCGACCTGCAACCTCATGAAAAATAGCACCAAATAATAGAAACAATGAAAAAATATGCAGAAAATGACATTTCAAATTAAAGACTCATATGAACTCCAAACATCAAATTAAATAATGGATAATATAGCTCATGAAAAGAGGAACAAACAATGTGAGTTCATCCATGAAATTCAGACAACCAAGTAGCTGGAAATCATGGATTGAAGTATATGTCCCGCAACCGCGCATTGCAGTAAACTGAAAACTTTACGAGTGTTTTTTCCCGCTATTGTAAGATATGATCTACGATCAAAATATACATTTGAATTCCTTATGAAAAAACTTTTTACAAATATATATTCATGAAAATCTAACGATCATATCTTCAATGAAATTCCAACAAAAAATGATACTCAATTAATATTTTTGAAACTGTCTCAACCAACTAACAAAGTTTGAGGTATCATATGATAAATTAAACATGTCGTTGAAAAGATTGAGTCGAGATCTCGAAATGATATATGATTTGTTAAAGTCCACCAATAGTAGAGGTCGGCGGCCGAAGGTGGCACTGGTGGGGAGATGATTGGATCTTCAACTCCGGTACACTTTTAATTTAATATCCCATATTTTTAATATTTTATTTTTATATACATGAGTTTGAAATTAATTGTAATTATCCAAATTTAAATTAAAATTAATACAAATTTAACATATTTTGATGAATTAATACAAATTTAACATATTTTATTTTAATTGTAATTTTGATGAATTAATACAAATTTAAATTTAAATTAAAGTAAGGAAATATATGTATTCCACATATACGAGGTGTACGACGAGGAAATTAACATATTTTTTTAGTCTCGTACATTCAATATAT